CCATGACGGCGGCGGCGACGCACCCGATGCCCATGATGGAGACGTACGACGGCGTCAGGGTCTGCAGCACCAGGGGAAGAACCAGCGCCGCCTCGTCACGTTCATAAGGGGACGGAGAACCGTATGATGTCGCGTTCCAGTCTGAACACAAAACGTGCACGGGCCTGTCAAACGGCACCTCACTTTCAACTTCAACGGTCCCTCCATCCGTTTCAACAGCGCTTATCCTGAACAGGAGAGCCTATCCCAGCTGACTATGGGTGAAAGGCGGACGACACCCGAAACTGGTCGCCAGTCAGTGACAGAGCACATATGGAGACAAAAAAAACATCCATACCCCCATTCACACAGTCACTCAATGGGAAGTGAGAAACGGTCCCACGCTGCATGAACGCAAGTCACGCAAATGGACCGCTGCACTTCATACCAACATGAACCTTACAATTCCCAGTTAATTTAATTTGGAGTGTCTGCTGACTCAGCAGCCAGTGGTCAACATGGGCCTGGCGGCGTCGGGGGTGTTCTCCGCACCCGCAGGGTCCTGGGTGGGGGTGGGCTTCTGGAAAACGTGCAAAACGTCTAACCTGAATGCCTTTCATTTGAACGTAACATTCGAAGCTCGCGTTATTTTAATTTTTTCAAATTTCAAATCGGTGCCTTGGCTCAATCATGGTTGGGAATCGCTGGTATAAAGCATTGACACGGACATAGACCTTTCATGCTGACCAATGCACCCCTTTCACACACACTCCTTTCACACTTACACTAACCTATAACACTTTCACACTGAAATATAACATTTGCACAGTGATATATCACGTTCACACAAACGATACACCTTTCACACTGATTTCTAATCCTAACGTGTACGCCTTTCCTTTCACAGAAAACACTGAAATAATAACCATTCACACTGACATACAGCAGACCCTCTGACACTCACCTTTGCCCCTTTTACACAGACGTATGCAGTGACGCATATAGACCTTCCCAACTTTATATGACAAACAGTAGAAATGGAGTGCTTCGTCGCCACAGCCCGTCTATGCATCCCAAGGTTTCAAGGCGCTCTCACCTGTGGATGCCCCCACGGCCCCCAGCAGCACCGGGGGGATGCAGAAGACTATGAAGACGGCGGCGGAGATGAAGCAAACGCGCTTGGCGGTGGACGGGGACGACGTAGACAGCGTCCTCTGGTGGAAGGACTGATATCCCAGACTGCCGAAAGACTGAGAGGGAACAGAGGCCGACCCCCACCACACACCTCAGGACTTGCATGCCCTGACGAAGGGCGTGTTACTCACTCATTGTGTGTGTGTGTGTGTGTGTGTGTGTGTGTGTGTGTGTGTGTGTCTGTGTGTGTGTGTGTGTGTGTGTGTGTGTGTGTGTGTGTGTGTGTGTGTGTGTGTGTGTGTGTGTGTATGCGTGTGTGTTCGTCCCCGTGCGAGTGCCTCAACTCCCTCACCCACAAGAAGTAGCTATCCATGAGGATCCATATGTTGCTGATGTTCCAGTCGCCAATCCAGGGCGGGTGCAGCGTGTTGTTCATCATCGTGGAACCGATGGGCGCCACGTGAGGATTGGACACCGCGAACGGAACGCACAGCCACTATACGAACGTACACACAGGCACACACACACACACACACACACACACATATGCACACACATACGCAAAGAGTGAATGAGCGGTCAGTTTATGAGTGAGTGAGGAAGGTGACGGGGTGTTTGCGACCAGGCTGAAGAAGATGAGGAGCAGCTGGATGACGTCGGTGTAGGCCACCGAGTAGAGGCCGCCCAACAGCGTGTACGTGATGGCCACGCAAGCCGAGATCCAGATGCACACGCTGAACGACATGTCCAGGACCACGCTCATGGTCCCGCCTGAAAGCACGCACACACACCACACAAGATTTTACTACGGGGAGTAGTGTGTGCCAGTGCGTAAGTTTTTCGGTGGGTTTATGTGAGAAGTAACGTATGTGCCAATGTGTATGCGTGGCACGATGCAAGCTTGTGTGAGTGCATGCGTTGCGTGCGCATCACCCAGGCCGATGAGGGTGCCGGGCACCCAGAAGATGTCGAGGAAGAGCGAGGTGCAGCTGAAGACGGCCGTCAGGCCTTTGCCGTACTTGCGCTGGAAGGGATCCATCATGGTGACACATTGGGTTGCGCGCAGCGGCCCAGCGAACACCAGCCCGCCTGTTGGAGAGCCAACATCATCTTGGCAATCAGCCGGTGGGAAATATCACACGTTTCTTACACGCACATTATCCTCTCACATGGCCCTTTCACAACCGCTGTGCTGAAGAAAAAGCTCTGCTGAATTGACTCCATTTTATTTTGCCAAGTGGTTGCACGAAATAAAGTTATCTGGATCCAGGTACATGTTTTAAGTAGATTCGACATCTACTCCAAAAATCTATCTGCAAAGGTGATTCTATTCGATGCAGCCAGTTGACAAAATAAAATGGAGTCAGTTTATACCTGGGAAGTCTGAAAAGGTCTGACTGAAAAGTTTTAGCTTTCCCTTTTTGTTTCAGGGGGAAGCTTAGACGAATTGAACCTCTTTCATGCCGTGGTGCATTGAGATACAAATTGATTTTTTTTTTTTTTTTTATGGCCATGCTCGCAACACAATGTCAACCACCTGCCCCGAAAAACTAATTTTTGTACTTTTTTTGTTTTTCCACAAGGAGAATAGCACTTGATTATACTTAACAACATGAAATAGTACACGAATAATTCAATGTGGTTCTCGTGGTTGCTCCTTCTCCTGCTGTGTGCCACATGGCCTCCGGGCAGCAGACTGGGAGGATCGCGCAGCCATGCAGACCACAAAAAAGAAGAATGCACAACGACTGTGACTCAGTAATCTATTCCAATATCAGTCTGCCTTTTTGCATCGGATGTAACCTGCACCTCTGAGTATGTTGCCGTGTCCTTTATCTTCAAATATTCAGGAGTGTCAATACTTTTCGCGAGCCTGTCTATGGTCTAAGCCGGCAACATGGCTCAGTGGTAGAGTGGTCTTGACACAACCCCAGGATTGGTGATTCAATCACCGGTCATTGCGACCAGTTTGAAGTGCAGAGACTGACAGCCCAGTTTCTCCTAATGCTGCAACATTCAACAGGAAGTGAATGAGGTAAAAGTGTGAAGCTACTGTGAGTAATCCAGGTAGAAAAAGCGCCGTACGAGTCGATTATGTGTTGCAATGCTAGCACACTTAATTTATGTGCTTGTTTCAAACCGTCAATATGTAATTTTCTGTTTAGCTGGAAAGCAAAAAACAGCAAATATTACCTGCCAAACTGCCACATGGACTGAGAGAAGTTGCGTTCACTGCCACCGTACAATGCCTGTATCTCCAATTTTTGCTCACAAGTCAAAGGAAAAAAATTATCTCGTATGATGTCGCATATCTCAAAACCTGTTGTGAGTCACTTTTCTCTCAAAGCACCACTGCATAGCCCTTTTACATTGGTTAGATTAGCTAAGTGCAATACAAATTATAATCATCATTATTATTATTTTTTATTTTTTAATATGAATATATATTTACACAATGATTTTTTATTTTTATTTTTTACCAATAATAAAGGTGCGGGGAGCCCCACCACACCAAGAAAAATAAAAAAAGATGGAAAGTGTGCGTGGAAAGGTGCTCACCTGTCATGGTGAAGACCCCCACCAGTAGGCTGATGCTACGGTTGCCAAGCAACGACATCTCCAGAATGCCGCTCACCTGCTTGCGCTTCAACCTCCTGGACCTGACTGACGCCCAGATCCCGATGCCGAGGACCAGTGCGTAGAAGAACACCATGGAGATGATGCCCGGAATGTTGGCGGCCATCTCGGACTGAAAGACACCCCTCTGCAAAAAAAAAAAAAAAAAAAAACATTTTAAATGGCGTGGACGTTTCTTCTGGTCATCCAAACTTTTGCTGCCACCAACAAATATATTCGTCAAGTTGTTTTTTTTTTTCAACGGAGGGTGTGGAAGAGTGTCCCGATATAGATTTCAGCCTCATAACTTTTCATCAATTCAAAATAAAAATGAGAACGAATCATTCACAAATGTAATTTCAAAACACTGAAATGGGGGCAAGCAGCTTGCTCGACGGTGCTGGTGGCACCTCTCAAAATATTTCCACCAGGGGTAAGGAGCACAAATCAAAGCGAACTAATCGGAGTAAAAGAAGAAAACGTGTTCTTGTGATTGGCTCGTTTCAAACTGGGAGCGCCATTCCGTTTCCTTGACTGCTGTTGTCATGTTCCGATGGATGCGAGCGTTCTTGTGTGACGTTGGCCTAATTTTGCGGACTTTTCTTCCACATTTCTCTTCGGATATATCCTTCTGCTCTATAATGTGTCAAGGCGATGTACCAGGTGAGTGTGAAAACTTTCGAGACGCTGTCGTCTTTTTGCGTCGATAAAATGGTTAAAAAAGTAAGTTAGCTTTTAGCCGCGTCAGAGAGGACATTAGCAGAGAGTTCAGGCAGATCTTCGCAGACATGCAGAACGACTTCACGTGAGACTTTGTTGGCTAATGCTGGGCGGGGTGGGAACGTCCTCGCATCCTTCTGTTTGTCTGGACGTGAGCCTGGCGAGAAACAGGGTGGGCGGCCCCATCTTCCAAGGACGTCGAGGTCAAGGCGGTCTTGCTCTTTGCCCTTCGCAGGGAGCGGCTGGCCAGGGAGACGCAACTCCTGGAGGAGCGAGCGGAGAAACGTCTGGAGATATTCAAGATGATGACCAACAAGATGTCCGCCTGCAGAGAGGCTGAGGACGACGAGGCGAGGTGTCGAGGGGAGCTACAAATATCGCTTCACTGCCTTCCTACACCACTGAAATGGAATCGTGAGGCTGCTGACGAGAACTGGCCCAATAAGGCGGCCTGATTCTCAGCCGGGATGTCCACAAAGAATTCAACCAACACCACGGTGTTTCCCCACACATCCCTGACTCATGGATTCAAATAATTTTCGGGGGTGGGGGGGAATCACTTTTATTCTGTCGAGAGGAAATCAAGATCTACATGTCACTCCATTTCTTGAAAATAATTTCGGGGGTGGGGGGGAATCACTTTTATTCTGTCGAGAGGAAATCAAGATCTACATGTCACTCCATTTCTTGAATTTCAGTGAAAAGGAGACAGAAGTGATTGTGTTTGGTCACAGTGGCCCTTGTACATCCCACCCTGCGGACTTGGGTCCCATGGCTCCTTATCTTATGGCAACAGTCTCGAACTTGGGTCTTAAACTGGACAGTGATTTGAAATTGGACTGGCCAAATTGGTGCCGTTGTTCAATCCAGCTTCTTTCATCTTAAGTAGCTGGCTCAAGTCGAGCCTCTCCTTTCTCAAGAGCACTTTGAAAGAGTCATTCATGCCTTCATCACATTTTGGCTGAATGACTGCAATGCACTTGACTTTGGAGTCAGCCGATCCTCCATGAAGCGTCTCCAGTTGCTCCAGAATTCCGCTGCTCGCCTCTTGACCGGTACTTGTAAGAGGGAGCACATAACTCCTACTCTGGCATCCGTTCACTGGCTCCTGAAACATTTGCTCAATGTACAGCACTTCGTATACAGTGGTGGTTGTTTTGAAGTGTTTGAGAAATACGCCTGAGTTGAGTTGAGAATTGTACGTTCTCATGGAGCTATTGCCATAACTTGATTGGCAATGGGTGTGGCCCACTATTGAAAGTCCCTTGAATGAACATTTGTGGTGACAAATGTTAATTCTCATTCGATATTCAGGATCAAGAAAAATATGTCAACAGCCGCACCTTATTTAAGCCGCAGGAAGGGTCGAGTCGCAACTTGTGCAAACTTGCTTCGCAAAAATAATTTGATGACAGCAGTCATCACCGTCTTGTTTTTGCTCACAGATGGACAAAGTGAAGAAGATGCTGAGACAGCAAAACGTCGGCCACGCGAGCCAGTGCGCCGAGGCCTCGTCGCGTGACCTTCAGCTGGCCAAAGAGGAAGCGAGGAGCGCTCACGAGAACATCACGGTAACCTGCAGGGCGTTATTGATTGACTGTCAAAGGGTTCCTCGCTCCACACAACACACACACACACACACACACACACACACACACACACACACACACACACGCTTTGTAGCATCATGATTTCGCTTATGGATGAAAAAAATATCTGCACATGTAAAAGTAGGAAAGTCTAACTCTATTTATGTTTGTTTAACACCGAGAATAAGAAGGTGAACTTGCACCAGTTAAAGGCCCCCCAGTGGGTCCGAGTGTTGTCGACCTGTCGGCATTGCAACCTTCCAAGTGTTTGACTGCCGACAATGGTGGAAAAGTCTGTCCAGGTTCAGATCAACAACACGTTGGATTGGCAAGCGTCAGCTTACCTTGTGCTGCAAAAGACTGACGGCAGATGTTTGCTGCTCACGTCTTTTTATTCAACAAAACCGTCCACGTTGCTGAGTAGAACCTTTAGATGAGAGTGTCTGTCCTTCAGACGTCACTTGACTGCCTTTGAACCATGCCAAGCTTCTCCGTGCCAATTGTCGCATGTCTCCACCCCTTGTCAGCCATGCGATGCGATGACAGGTGAAGAGCTTTTAACCCTTGACCGGACTGAGAGCGCTACCTGGCCGGGGAGGCTGAGCTGGTGAGCTGCCCTGGTCTTACATTGGCATGGTCGAGAGTCGTCATGTAATATTCCTTGCATTCCTTTGGGTGTTTGTCAGGTTTACAATATAAATTGACAAATATCCATTTATAGAAAGGAAGAGAGGAGACGTCTCTTTGTTGTTTTTGTTTGCGAGGAGAGTAGGAAGAAGGCTGCGCACATCTCTCCCTGCTGTCCTAAAGCAGCCCCTCCCCATGCCCTCTTTTTTTATCTGCTCATGAGGTCCCGAGGTTACATGAAGGTGAGGCCACGAAGCGGAAGTTTGGGGTCTCAGCAAACTGTCCACACCTGAGCTTTCACTCCAAAGTGCATAATGTTGACATTTTCATCACATCCTCAGCAAGTGCATAAGCCTGATTATCACTTTTAATACGTCAAGTCAGCATGAGAAATGCAGAAGGGTCGCCTCGGTTGGTTTCCTCTGATCGTCAACTGTCGGCTCTTTGGAGCCATGTAGAGTTGAGCATGTTTCGCGCAGTAATATAAATGCAGAATTAAACATAATAAATCACGTTGAAAATAACTGTTTCTAAAGTTTCCTCCATCAGTATTGTTTCAGCCCCCCCCCCCACCCCCCCAAAAAAAAACAAAAACGTTTGCCTAAAATGAATTTTCAGCTTACTATTGCATCGCTGCCACCGACTGGTATTTTCCTTCCACTGTCATGTGAAATGCCGCTGGCTGGACGTTGTGAAGTTGCTGAATTTTGCCTGTATTCCCCCCACGCCCCCCCCCCAAAAAAAAAAATATATCTATATATATATATATATTTGTTTTGCTCGACCTTTGTCACACCTTTGTCCAGGAGGCGGAGCTTGCGTTCCAAAGAGCAAATGATGGTGAACTGGAGGCAGGAGAGAGACACACTGGTCGCCGCCTTGGAGGTCCAACTTCACAAGCTTCTCGCCAGCCATGCTGACAAAGACAAAATCATCCAGCAGCTTCGTGACAACAGCGAGCGGC